TGTCAGCACCTTTACATGCAACAAATCTGAAGTTGAATCGCGCTCTACTCTTGCAACATTGCGCGCAACAAATTTCATCATATGAACATGGCTGCAACATTGCGTGCAACATTTTGAAATTTCCAGTCAATCAGCTTGCACTAAATCTATATTTACTGACCAAATATCTTAACGTAGCAGGCTGACACAAGCGATGTTGCGTGATTTTGTTGCAATGTGTGTCACCCCAATTCAAATATTTGTTGCTTGCGATGTTGCGTACAATGTTGCACCGTGTGTAAGCACTTTTAGTTTTCTTTTGCTTAAATTGTGCTATGTTGAGCACTAACTAGTTCATACTTTTTTTTGATAACGTCAATGCACTCTAAAATAGTAAAAACATGTTACTRCTCTAGATATTTAATCAAATTCCTTTTTATTTTTATGAAATTTAACACATCATCACAACACTTCTTACAATTTGGTAAAACAAGTAACGAATTCTTCGTTTGMAATAGACGTCATAGCCGCCATGTTGGAAGAATTTGACATAAGATTTTTCAATGAATTMTTTTGKTATATCTTCCAACATGGCGGACATCYCTTTYGTTATTGTACTCTCTTGGGATTGATTGCAAACCAAGAATAGMTTTTYGTTACTTTCTTAATAATCTCTCTTCTGGTACAAGATGAATAAGAGTCAACAGTGTAAATCATAAGAATTTATTTTACTGTCATTCTACTCTAACCGCTCCACTTTTTTAAATCTTATTTTTTATTTAATATACTCTTATTGTTAATATACTCTTATTTTTTCTTTCTCTGTCATCATCTCCTTGAATCGCTTTTATAGACTTTTAATACATGTAACTTAGAGTAGAACGACAGTAAGTGGAATATAGAAGCTAAAATGTGGCTTGGATCATAATATCATTCTTCTTTTTCGCGATGAATAAAATTTAGAAGTACAGTAAATTATGAGAACGTCTAGCAAAATAATTGAATTTCATTATTTACTGACTAAAAATCAATACAAAGCATTTCAAATATTGCATAATAATGTTGCCAACTTTAACTTATTTTAGATTTTTTTTCCTTTCTTTTTCCTGTGAGTAAAGTTTTCAGCAAATCATGACAACTTCTAGAAATATAATCATCAAAATAAGTCTTGGGTAAAATCAGTGAAAAACTGTCTCGTTATTGTATAAAAAAACTTTACTAGCTTCAAGTTTTTTTCTTCTTCTTTTCTTCCCATTATGAATAAACCTAAACAGTAAATTTGTAAGGACATCTTGCAACATAACAACTAAATTAAACCCTTCAAAGTCACTTAAAGTGAGTAAAAGCATAGTTAATCGAGGGGAATAGTTATGAAATCTATTGTTATATGTCTTTGTTCACTTTTTTCAAGTGTGACAGTGCACAATCCTTTGTTTTACCATTGTTTTACCATTGTTGGCAATAGCTGAGTGAACAGACAAAAATCTATCTTGTGGCTGTTAGTTCAAAATACTTAAAGATTTATAAGAGATATCTAAATATTCCTTGCAACAATCCCATAGACAAAGTTTATGTTTACTTATTTTGCAATTTCGAATAAATCAAACATTGTGCACAGTCAAGACCGGTTCAACATCAAAAGCGAACAAAGACATATAACAATAGGTTTCATAACCATTCCCCTCTATTAACTATGGTAAAAGTCAGTAGAAAGCTTCAAGGGCCAATCTAAAGGGGTTCCATACAAACCGTGAGTGCCAACTGCTTAATATTGACGGTTCGGATCCCCCCCCTCTCTCTCTCTCTCTCCCCCCGCCAAAATCCTGGATACACCTCCATAAGCTTTCTCATTTCTGGAGCAAATGTATCATTATACTAAAATTTCATATACTCAACTACCAAAAAAACTAGAGAAATTGGTTTATATAGAACATATCTTGTAAGAATAACATCTACTTTTATTTTATAGATAGCTACCACAAACAGTGCTTGGGCTACGTGGTAATACTTTCAAATTTTCAGATCATAATATACCTAATACAATCACTCTTTTCATTCCCAGTCCAAGGAAGGCATGTAGCCAAAAATTACCCATAAAAAGGGTTCAACCTCTTGAAAGCCAGATGTAAGTGAAAAGTAAACATAGCTGGTGATGATATTCAGGCTGTACTTTGTAATCCCTTGGTCTAAGAAACAATGTATACTACAAAAATGCCCCAGGATTGGCTCTGGGATCTTTGAGATGTCTAAACTTGAAAGCCAGATATACTCCAACAAACTGCAAGCAAATAAAGAACAATAAATGTTATGAGTATGTCTGTATATCTTTTAGTTTGATCAATGTAAATCTCATTCAGGAATCCATAAAAAATATTAGGAAAAAGGTGGATGGAAAATCTCAAGTTTCTTAACTCGACTGTATTTTCAAGCCCCAGAGTAAATAGTCCCCGTAATTTCACAGTCTTTATTGTTTCCTCTTTATTCATTATAATAGGACCATAACAAACATTATTTTCTGGCTTGAAATTTATGAAAATCAGTGTCACATTATATCTAACGTTGAAAAGGGGGAGAGGATTGCATGGCTCTACCTGCACCCCTTACATTGTAGATCTGTCACTCAAAAAAAAAATTACTTTCTCCTAATAAAACTATAAATCACAAAAAGCTAATAAACAATTTACACCCGCAGCCAGACTGGTCTGTGAGTCAATAGCCCATGAGGCCAAAGGCAGAAAGGGCTATTGACTAGTAGACCATGAGGGGGAGAGGTCTAATAATTGTTGTAGTGGTATTAACCTACTTATCAATCAGAAGATATAACTAGCTAAAAACTAGTGTGAGCTGCATTGGTGTTTCTAATGAAACAGTAGTGATAAAAGGGTAAATTATACACCATGAAAAGATGAAAAAACTTACTGACGTTTTGGATGCTAGTCCTTTGTCAGAGTAAAAGATGAAGAACAAATGTACGTCCGAAACATCAGTAAGTTTTTTCATCTTTTCATTGTGTATAATTTACCCTTTTATCATTATTTAACAATCAAATAAATTGATACAAAATATCACAAAATTAGATTGAAATAAAGTGTATTTTTTGTTGCTTTGGTTTTCAAACCTGATATATTTTGCTACTAGTTGGTGTAGGGATTTATATTACATCATCGTCTTAGGAAAAGATTTCTATACTACAGTACTTACCAATGTAAAACTAAAAAAAAGTCCAACTCCACCAACAGATTTTTTTAACTGATCAAGACCTTTAGACCTTATGAACCCCAAGCAAGTCTTGCAGTCTGGTGATGATGTTGAGTTTTTACAACCGCTTATCTTATGGAAAAAAATAGAAATAAATCATTATTAATATTAATAGTATATCTTTTACAGGGACCATGAAGCAGCGTTCTTTGATTTTATTGCTACTCTTAAACAAACCTCTGGGCTACATCACAGATCACTACCTGAAATGAATTCTGTGCAGATCAAAGTCAAGGTACAGCTAGTTCAAAGCTTGAACTGGAAATTAGCAATTTATGTTTTCTGGCAGGAGGAAAACCAGAGAACTAAAAAAAAAACTTTTGAATCAAGAGAGAAACCTAACAAACTCCATGCACTTGCAAAGCTGAGTCGATGAATCAAACCTGAGACCCCAGAGATGTGAGGCAAGTGCACTACTTGCTGCCTTATGGGCCTCAAATTGTTTTCTAATTTTTATATTTTATTCAAATTGATTTTTAGAAGTTTTTATGGCAGATTAAACATTGTGTTAAAGTGTTCTATGCTACATAGCTCTTGCAAGCTAGGAAGGAGAGATGGTTGGAAAAGTTTGTTGCAAGTTTGTGATCAGATATACAAACTAACTAGCTATAGGAAATATAGTTGCAGGATCGAATTTTAGAAACTACATAGGCTATTTATAAAATTCTAAATCTAACCAGCCTGTTACAGCAAAAAACGGGCCATCAGCTGTGGACCTTTCAAGTGGTGTCATCTAAAAATAGACCTCCTCGGCTCAGGCGTAATGTTTTCTCATTTCAGACCATGTGTCATTCCCTAGGGTATAACTTCTTTATTTAACGGTTATGCATGAGAAGACCAATGAGTATAATGAATACAACTCAAACAAAAACTCAATCAAAGGGATTAAAGACACATGGTCTGAAATGGGAAAACATTACTCCTGAGCCAAAGAGGCCTATATGAAAGAGCAAGTCTATGATATTTACATCATTGCATGGAGGATGTCCAAAAGGTCCAGTTGTCTGAGTCTTGTTTTCAAAGCCACAGCACTGACCATTACGTTGAATTTCTGACTTGGTTGTCATGCTTAGGTGACTCCAGCCATCTTCCAATATTTTGCATTCTTGTGATTTACTTATGGACAATGCCCCAATGGATATTGAGAACAAGATTATAAAGATTATGACAAGTATAATCATATACTGGAATGATGTTAAGGCATGGAAATAAGGAAACAGTTGTCCCTAAAAGTTCTCCAAACAAATGTGTCTGACGTCACAGATAAAGTCCCGTATGTAACAACCGGAAGTGGCTGTTCCTAGGCAGACTAGTCTAATATATAACAAGATCGAGCTGCTTTGACGTCACATGCAAGATGTATACTACTACTACTCTTGTCATAATTTTGACAAGATTTTCAAACTGGAATTGAAAATTTTAGTGTAAAAATATCAAATGTTACGATTATAGGATACAAAAAATAGAATTATTTGGTGGTGCCGACATGTTCCAAATAATCCTGCCAGTGCCAAGAGCAGAATAAAGACACCACAAGTTATAACTCCACCAATGATGGACCAGCTGGTAAAGATTGCAACAACCTTTGTGTAAAGTGGAACAGTAATGAGAACAAGCCCAACAACCTGGAAAAAAGATAAGAACAAAAAGCTGTGTGAAAATTCATATTATTTTGTAAGAATCTGCTGCTTTATGATACAACCTGGGTTCCAGAGGGATTTTTTCGTGAGAATCTTATTATATATCGCGCAAACAACTTAAATGTTTTAACTTAATGAGGCGATCCGATTGGTCTCTCCTGCTTGTGTACAGTTTTAGTCCAGACCTACATCATGAGTGGTTAACTTTGTCCAAACCATTTTTTTTTCATATTTCTCTTCCCTCAACATTTTGTATTAAAATTTTACTATAGAGGGGCTCTTCTGCTCAAGCTAATGTTCTAACAAGGTTTTCCTTATTGAAAGTTGGTCTCAATCTCTCTTCATTTTCCATGGACCCAAAAGATGTGAGGATCTCTAACACTAAGGGCGAATTTTCATTTTTTWAAATATACATGTACCTTTTTGGCCTTGGCATAAAGTTTTCCTATTTCAGACCATGTTTCATTTATTGGGAATAAGATTCTTTGTTTGAATCATATCTAATGCAAGTCTCCTCATGCACAACCATTAAACAAAGAAATGATACTCTAGGCATGGACAGATACAGGAGGGTTGGATTTTCACCCCCATTTTTCCAAGTTTGTTAATTAATATTAGTTTTTATGACTCTTAGTGTCAATATACAGGCTTTAGATGATTACTATTTCGACTCTGATGGGGAATTAAAAAGCTCAAAGAAATTTTTGTCAGAGTATTTACCCCTGTTCATAAAATCCTGTATCCACCCCTGCTAGGGAATATGTAGTATGGAATGGATAATACAACCAATCTATTAAAAAGTTCTATAAAAATAATTTCATGAGTGTAATTCATAATCATGGCACCAACCAAGAAAAAAAACATAGTACCAAGAAAAGGCAGAAAAAAATCAGTGGAATATGAGACTATAGCATAAGATTATAAGCTAGAATATCAATTCCAAAATGAAAAAAACATACCAGCTTATCAAACTTTAATTCAATGTTTAAGCCTATTCACCTCTGCTAAAAATAAATTATCTATAAAGCTAAATCTTTTGTTATGAGGGCCAATCAGCCCATATTATTATTGTATTAGTTGTTTAGTTGTTAATTAGAACTGAGTAGAACATATGAGAACATTCTGTAACCTTCCACTTGAGTTATGTTAAAAAAAACGTCTAGAACCCTCTAGATGCTTCAATGCTTAATAATTGTAATTCAGTACATTTACAAAGAACATTCTGGAATGATGTAATAATTATATTTAGAAATATTGTAATATCTATATTTAGAAATAAGTTAGGAAAGCAACATAATTGTAAATATTCATGAAATAGTAAATAGTCTAAATAACATTGACGAAGACACTGTTTATTTGCTCATGTTCTCTTTCTTATATTTTAATATATTATCTCAATAATTAAAATTATTAGATTTTTGCTTCACGCTGTAATTAATTCCCCCAAAAATAAGTTACAGTTTATGTAGCATATGGCTTTGAAATATTTATGCTTTGCGTGGAGGGTGCAATGCCCCTGCATTTTGATTAGTTGAATAGCAATATCAGTCTTGAGCTGCGATTTGTTCAAAAAAATATTGCCTTTTTCCCAGTGGTAGCAGCTGCAGAAATAAATAAAGAGGGGTTGGGGGCTGAAAGTAATCAAACAAACAAAACACAAACAGGGAATTTGAAACTACACTGAAAAGTAATTGGGGCCGAGCACTCTAAAACAACATTTTTTTACGGTTTTTGCTTTTGCTGTTGACTAACAGCCAAGACAAATACACATGTGTAAATGCTATACCTGAAAATGGACACGTGTTGGAAGTAAGTAAAGTAAAGTAAATATTGAGCACTTTTGTAAGGGCCCTGTTACATTTGTTTATGTATGAACATACTGTGAGCTGAGGTTATTTCGCTAGGTGTATATAATCAGCGCATCAATGATTTCAAAGGAGCCACGTAGAAATGAATAAATAATAAGGTTATATTGTTTTGATTGTGTGTGTATTAATAAGCTTATACAGAGAATTATAAGCTTATAGAGAACTCTTGCACGGTGCGTGTTAAACATTAAAGCTAACATGTATCAAATAGATTCACAAGGAAGCAATCGAGCATTACGAAATGCTGTACGAAAATACAAGCTATTGCAGATTCAATAGGAAAATTATATATCAGCTTAGCTTAATATTCAAGCTTAAAAAAATCAAAAAGTTGGAGCTGTAAGCTAATACAATTCCTTACCAAATACATGACATTGAGGGCTACTAGAGCTTGTTTATAGCAGTTAAATGCCAATCGAGACGGTGGATTAGCCATTTTCCTCTACGTTTAGTAGCCTTGTAAAGTATCGCTAAAATTGGGACTGGTTTAGTCACATTTTATCGTCTTTTGAAGGACGCAATATTATRCGTACACCCATTCATGTCTCTGCAAATAAATTACAACATAGTTCCTTCGACTGGAATGACATCACGATCTACATAACAACCAATCAGAAATTGTGTTAGAAATAAAAAGTTTTAACGAATCCATAACAGCGATAGAAACCTCCAATAAAATGCGCTTTTACTTCCTAATATTTTTGCTAGAACCAATCAAAAGTATCCTACTACTTCATAGAAGCTAACCAATCAAAAATCGTTTTTTTTGTCTCTAAAGTAACCAATAACATTAATGTTTATATCGAACCAGCTAACATGAATATCGAACGAAATGATCCAATCATAGTTTGTGTACTATTTTATGGCTGATAAGCCAATCACAACCGCGTTTACTTTCTCTCTAATAAACACAAAACCACTACTTCGCTTCAGAATCAGTAAAGAGTAGGTTTTTGATCCGCTGATTCTGCGAGAATCACTCATAAGAGGAAAAYAGTCTCAACCGAGACTCGTAGCTTTGTCTCATCCGAATCCATAAGCAAGGTAAGAAGGGTTAGTTTCATTTATTTGGTACATTTTCAAGCGCTTGAAGTCCACATGAGCGACTGCATCTCCAGAAATCACATTTCGCCAAGCGAGTTCCGGTTGAAGAGTGAGTTTGGCTTATAATTGGCTGGCGAGTCTTCGCTGATTCAAAATCCTCAGTCTTTGTCCCGTTTTATTGTGCAAGGTTACAAGTGGGCCAGAACAACGTTAGAGAGTCGTGTTAAGGAATTTCGGTAGGTTAGAAATATTTTTTACTTTTCAGCGCGAGACGGTGACTTGTGTCTGTGATGAAGRCGCGCGTGAGCGACCTGATGTTAGAGGAATTTTTCTGTTCTTTGTTTCGCTCTACTTGTCGCTCCACGTTTACTTTCGCTTACTTGGATCCGTAGATCGATAGTGTTTCGATATCTGAACGTTTTTATACGCGTTATATATCCGAAGCCGTTGTATTGAACGAAATATAATGGTTTGTTCCAAGTGTGGATCAGACTATAACGTTATTCTAAGTCACGCGTTAGAGTCAAATAAAAACACGATTCTGAAACAAAAAAAATTTTTCAGGGGACTCTCTTTACTCTTTCCAGTTCATCCCGAAGCTCTTGATATAAATAGACTATTCTCTAGAAATTTCCTTATTCTTGCTTGTTTTCCCAACAGGGTTTAATATTTTCGAATTGAATACTTAAACATTTCACAAAGGACCCAGTTATGTTGTGCTAAATAAATGATTGTTGAAGTGTGATTTGTAAATTGGGCATTTCATGGCATTCCCCTACTGTTTGCCCAAACATTAAAATCATCCAACTCTCCGCAAAAGTGGGTCATTTGATTCCAGATCAAGAATTTTTTTTGTGTGTCGACTTATTCATTCATCCTAGACAAGTACAAAAAATGTGATAAACAATAGTACTTTAATATGAATTTGCGGACCTGACTTTCGTTGCCTAGGTCATATCTAGGATTTGTTCTAGGGTTGTTATCCTAGGTAAATGCAAGATTTACAACAAAGCACTTGCACTGCACACAGCCTTTTAGCAACACGTGATTTTTTAATTATAATTCAATGTTTGACTAATTAGAGGATTGTAGCTGTCATTTAGAGAGTTTGATTGCAGTTCAGGGGATTTGGATAAACCCTAGCTCCTATCTTCGGCCTTGGAGTAACCACTTCAAAATAAATATACAAATGTTATCTATACTTAATATATATATATATATACATTTCTTTATATCTTGTATGTGTGGATGTTACTATATACCTGAATGTTCCTGTACCAGTAAGGTTGACCTTTCGGCAGGGGCATTTGCATACCATAATCATCATCATATAAGCTCACTTACTTTTTGAGAGGGTAGTCCATGTTAAGATGGAGGAACATAACTCATTAAGCCTGACTCCAGAGTGAAGTAGCCAAGAAAAGTGGGGAGTCGTCTAATTAATATATAATATCTCCTCTTATTGTTGTTCGCTGTCTTTATCACTTGACTTAGTCAGATTGAGAGTGTTATGCAAAACATTTCATTGTACGTCTTAATGACGTCATACCCGTAACAGTAACACTAAAAACTATTTATTTTAATCCGTCTGGTCAACCCTGATATCCTTGCCAAGTTTGATGAATATCTGAATTGTAATTTAGAAACTACCCCAAACATGCTGATTTTGAGGTCATTTATGCCCTACATGAGTTGTCATCATTTTGGTTTTAAAAACCAGCATGGGCCTATCACTAATAAATGACTAGTAGCTAAGCAAATCAGAATGGTGGCATTTGTGATAGAACATTAGCAAGTTAAGACTAGAGTGCATAAGGGTATCAGAGAGGGTGTAATAGAAATTCTACTTTGTAAATGGATTTAAACAATTGCCTAAACATTTGTATTGATCTTCGCCTCAATTACCTTCATCTCAATTACTCCATTCGAACCCTTCAAATTTTATCCATATCCCCTGAGACAACCTACTTTGGGCCAAGCAAAGTCAGAGTATYCCTACTTTAGGGTGTTACTGTTCAGTAAGTTGTGCAGAGGGATGGAAACTGGAGAACCCAGAAAATAACCCTCAGACCTTGTTGGATAGTTAGAACTTTATCTCTTGTAAAATTTAAACTTTTTAAAGTTTAAAAGTGTTACGATTTCCCCTTATTGGCTCTTAACTTAATGGGTAGTTTGTATATTTTAGGTTATATAAATGTTAAACTCTGCTCCATGGGATTAAGTTAGTTAGTGCATGAACATAATCGAAGCCTTTTTTGCATGTGTTAATTGAAACCCTTTGGTATCCTGGAGAGCGACATGGATACTGCAGCTGAAACAGTTAAGTCTATTATAAGTCTACAATTAACCCTTAAGATTATAATTATTTTGGACGGTACATGTTCTAGAAACTTTTGGAATAAGATAACAATTACACTAGAATAATCGATAACGATTAGACCTGAAGCAAGAACAGTCTACAAGTCAATAGCTCATTCAGCCGAACTAAACCTAATACTCAGTCAAATAGAGGGATAAGTAAAATGATATTGAAACTAGTTTGAAAATGCAAGTTAGCGTTCATTGTTAGGTAGCCAACATTCTCGTTTATGGGAGGCGCAGTTGGCATTGTGCTCATCTTTCACCAATGCGATCTGGGTTCAATTTCCATCGGGATTTGCTTCCTATGTGAATGGAATTGTTTAACACATCAAATTTTATTCTAATAAAAGTAAACTTTAATAAATATACGTACCATCAAGGTTAAGTCGTGCAAGCCTTGCTGAACAAGGGGGAACTTGAAATTGGAGTATTAGGCAAAGCATGCACAACCTYATAAGATCTAAAGATGTTACGGAATTCATTTAGCTTTGGCCTCAAGTTTTATATCAAGAAGATACATGAATGTCAATACCATTCAAACAAAAAAATTATATTCTCTAGAAAATGGTGCATGGTCAGAAATGTAAAAAAACTTTATGCCCAAGTGAAAGAAGTCTACTGAAACTAAGTACCTTATCTTCAAGATTTGTATATGTGTTTATATATGTGTTTTGTCATTTTTTTTCCAGTGTAAACCTGGCTGAAGCAGCCTGCACACTGTCTGCTACTAGGATGTCATCTACGCCAGTCGCTGAAAACTGGTGTTACACTCAGATAAAAGTCATTAAATTTTCATATATGTGGACAATAAATAATTTTAGCTTTTGCCGAGAAGAAATGGGAGAGACATTAAAAAGTTCGACGTTCTCTGCTGGAGCTAATGATAAAATGAAATGGTTAGTTTTTTGATGTTATCATTTCTTTCCTTTTTAGTTTTTTTTCTAATCTTATTTGTTATTTCCTTCCTCTTATTTTCTATTCATCTCTTTTCCCTTTTCTTCACTTCTGTTCCTTTTTCTTTTCCCTTCCCATCTTTTCTTTTCCCTTCCCATCTTTTCTTTGTCTTCCCTTTTTTTCATTTTTCTCGTGCAATATTTATCTTGTCATTAATATTATATCCTTCCATCCTTTTCTCTTTCCTTTCCTTCCCATATTTCCCATATCTTTACCTTATCTTATCTTCTTTTCTCATCCCTTCGTTTTCAACTTTTATCTCCCAATTTACTTTCTTCCCATAATTTTTTTGGTGCAAATAAACTCTGTTGCTAACATTATTTTCTTTCATCTCTTTTGTTCTTCTTTTCACTCCTTTACATTCCTTATTCTGCTTCGATCGACAGGTGTTTACGTGTTAATCCCAGAGGTCTTGACGAAGAAAGCAAGGATTATCTTTCCCTGTACCTTCTACTTTTATTATGCAATAAAAGTGAAGTCAGAGCAAAGTTTAAATTCTCTATTCTGAATGCCAATAGAGAGGAAACAAAAGCAATGGGTATGTAACATAAAACATTACTGTAAAACATTCTAACCACATCAATAAAATTAAGTATTCATTAATAAGTCTCAACCAATCAGCGAATCAAGAATATCCTCACCCCTTTAATACTAGAACCCGTGTATAGAAACAGATCCAGGGACCAATCCAGGATGTTCTTAAAATCCAGCGATTGTTTTTATGCATAGTTTTTTGACGTATTTCCAAACAATAGATTTTTTCCAAACTTGGCAGACAAAATTATGACACTCTATTTACCTTGAATCTAAAGTTTCATAGAAATTGGTTGATTTTTAAGCAAACAGGAGTGCATTATTGTGAACAACCGGTATTTGAAAATTGACCCGACCACAAACGCGACTCACAAATAAAATTTGGAATACACCGTTAACACTAATTGATTGAGCTTCTACATGTGCTAAATTTATTAAAAAATATCCGAGCCAGATATTCAATAGTACCTTTCAAGATTTCGTTGGGAACTGTAAAAGGAAATATTATGTTGGAGTCACCTTAAGGACTTGTGGTGCACGTCTCTCCTTTAAAGAGTTTTTCTCCCTTGCAAACCACAACACACTAAATCCCAGTTCATTGTGTGAGTTAACCACACCCTGATTTAGTTTAGCTGTAAGGTTGTTTCAGGGTTTGAATAAGTGTTTGGTTTGGACTGATAATAGTGTGTGTTATGAACTTTTCAGAGAGCCAAAGAGCGTACAGATTTGTCCAAGGAAAGGACTGGGGATTCAAGAAGTTCATCAGAAGAGATTTTCTAATGGATGAAGCTAATGGATTGTTACCAAATGATACTTTAACCCTATTTTGTGAGGTATGAATCTGGAGAACTAATGTTACTGGGACCTAGAATATTATTTAATTTATGATAATGTATTAAATTATATGACGCAAATATCGATATCAAAATTTTCAAATACGCATTGCAATAAGTCTAAAAATTAGATTAAGTAGAAAAGTATGAATAATTGAGAAGGGGAAGGGGTCTCGACTACACTTGCAATCTTAGTCTTATGCATGCTAATCTTCTTTCGATTCTATCATCAGCTTCTACTTTTTAGGGTGCCAAATAAAAAGTTTTACATGGACGTTAGTTCGATGCACATGCTCAGATGTGCAATGAAGCGTTTTTGCCGCCTCTGATCGGACTAGTGTGGACGCGAAACATTTTATCCGTTTTCATGTGTGGACGGAAAACTTTTTTTTCGGTTTCGGTGTGAAAGTTGCGGATTCAAATTTATCCGGCATAGTGTGGACGGGGCCTTAGTCATTGATATAATAGACCTTCGAGATCAAAAGTTCTGACTAGCAAACATGATGCATTGTGGTCTAGCTTCGCCACAAACATCTTTTGTTCAACATGCGTAATATGGTGCTTTTTGCACTCAAGCTAGACCATAATGCATCATGTTTATTTGATTCAGAAAAGATGTAKGGTCTTTACGACACACATTTATTCCCAACAGGTTAGCGTAGAAGGAGATTCCGTAAACGTGTCTGGTTCATCACATTCTTCAGCGTTAAAAGTCCCAGATTGCAAGCTGTCATCTGACATGGAGAAACTGTTGACTAATGGGTCATTCAGTGACACAGTCTTAGTAGTCGATGGACGGGAGTTCTATGCACACAAAGCCATCCTAGCAGCAAGATCACCGGTTTTTAATGCCATGTTTGAACACGAAATGAAAGAAAGCCGTAAGGGAAGAGTCGAAATATCCGACATTGATCCCGATGTGTTCAACGAGATGTTAAAATTCGTATACACTGGAAATACGCCGCAGATACAAGGGATGGCGGAAGATTTGCTTGCTGCTGCTGATAAAGTAAGTTGAATGTTTAGCCGTTGATTGATAGAGCTAGTAATGATGCTGGTGCTGGCGATGACGAGGATAACAAGAGAGCCCAAAACATGTCTACGCACGTAAGACACCGAGCCCTGGAATCGAACCTGGGTTGCAGTGGTGAGAGGCGGCGCATTAGCAGCGCACACCACCCGTGCTACCCTTCAAATAATCCTCTTATTGTGTGATGATGATTTAATGCAGAGGATTATGATGATGAAGATGGTGATGAAGATGGTGATGATGATGAAGATGGTGATGAAGATGGTGATGATGAT